AAGAATATGATTGCTCCTATATATCACAAAACAGTTTATATATATATATATATATATATATATATATTATCAAATTGGTATCATAGTTTAACATTGTTAAAAGATGGCAAGTGGTTTAAATCAACAAGTGTTTCGTCTCACAAATGAGAAATGGAGTCTTCAAATAAAGACATTGTTTGGTTACCAAGATATTTAAGAGAGTTGAAAAAGGATATGTCAAGCCATAAGATGAAGGAATATTATTAACAACTCATAGGGATTTGTTGAAAGAAAATAATAAAAAATAAGCCAAGAAAGCACTCTTATTTATTAATCAAGCCTTATATGAGGCATGCTTTAAGAAAATTTTCAGCGCATCCACCGCTATGCAAGTATGAGAAATACTTCAAGCCGGTTATAAATGCATAGACAAGGTAAAGGTGGTTCGACTTCAAACTCTTCGATCTAAGTTCAAGGCACTACAAATGAAGGAAACATAAAATTTGGAGGATTATTTCATTAGAGTCTTGATCGTTGTCAATCGACTACGAAGGTATGAAAAAAATTTAGAAGATGTTAAGAGTGATTGAAAAAATTTTGTGTTTAATGAATGATAAATTTGAACACATTGTAATAGCTATTGAGGAAGCTAAAGACTTATGGTGTGTTTATTTCTGCTGTTGCTATATGAAATTTCAGTTCAAAAACTGTTGTGGAAAATCTGCTATTTAAAAGTTGGTGTTTCGCAAGCAGTTGATTTGTTTGAAAATTTTTGTTTTGTGAATAAAATATTTGAAATGCCCTCTTGTCTCAAGCGCAACAGCACCACTCATGGGTTGGCAGTCGTGATCTCAAGGGTGAATCAACTATTTTCAAAATAAATTTAATGAGCTAGCATAAAACTTATTAATGAACATAAAATTATTTATATTATAAATACATGATTAATTATTATACTAATTTTAAAATAAATTTAATGAGCATAATCTTATTTTTAACTTTGAATATTAATTCAGATTTTATTCTTCCTAAATCAATTTAACTTTATATGACTCATGAAGCATAATAATTATCAATTATCCCAACTTATTATTTAATTAAAAAATAGTAAAGTAGCACATAACCCCACTAAATCAATTTTACTTTATATTTCTAATGAAGTTTTCAGATGTTGTAATAACAGTATCTAAAAGTAAAGCTTTTCATATATGCCTCACGAAGTTTTTAGATGCCATGCCTGCCTTTAAAACCCCACGGAACCCTCGAACCCTAAACCCTAAAACAACGAACGGATGCAGGATATGCAGTCTTAGAGTCATGATCATCAATGAATTTATGAGATCTTTAATCGCTTATGTACAAAAAGAATAAGAAAAAGCATGATACTATCCAACAAACTCTCCAATCAAAGCTTAAATTAAAGAGCGAAAATGAAGACTTTAAAATTGAAGATAATTCAAGTGCTCGTAACGTCAAGGGGCAAATTCGCAGTCGCGGCCGTTTTCGTGGTCATGCTTTTGATCATGTTTTTCGAAGAGGTTGAGAATATGGAAGTGAATGATATAAAAAAGGTAATGAAATCCGACAAATCTCAAGAAATGAAGACGGGAAGAAAGACCCGAGATATTAAACGTACAAAAAATCTTATGTTTGTTATTATATTTGCAAGAAAGTTGGTCATTATGCTTCCGAGTGTTATCTTAATTAAGAAAAAAACTAACTTGGCCTTGAAAAATGAAGTGGATCATATGTGCGGAAATAAATGCATGTTCGTAGAG